GGGGGTGCAGGTAGCAATGCAGTGGGGAAGGGGGTGGATGCTCAGGTAGCAATGCAGTTAGGGGGACTCAGGCAGCAATGCTGGGGGGTGTGGGGGAAACGGCAGTGTCAGACAACAATGTATTGGAGGGAGGGGGGCGTTAAGCAGCTGTGCAGTGGGTAGTGGGTCAGGGGATATTCCATGAAACTCCCAAGTATTAAAACCAAGATGATGAAATTTTGCAGATCATTCGTCCATATTTGTCCAAAGTTGTGACTAACTCTGTAACGAAGGTGAAGTGGAGCTGAACTGACCAAGAACATCTGCCTGCTAACAAACCATGAAACGAATAATTATTGATTAAAAATCAACAGTGGACTGTGGTTTTCTAATCATTATCTTTTTTTTTACCTTCCTTGTTCCACGGCTGGATGTCAGGGACCACAAGGACCCAAGGTGAGGTTTTCCCCAACGCTCTTTCTTCAGACTGAAGTGGACTTTAAGTTGGGTCACTGTTTTGCAGCCGTGGTGGGGTTTGGAGCCAGTGACCTAGTAAATGTGATTTAACAACTGTGTGTAGCCTTGTGTCAGAGCCACCTCCTGCTCCCTCGGCCCTAGCCCCCATGAACGTGCTGCGGACGCGTTGTCTCGGAGAGCATAGCTGCTGTGTTCGCTAACTTTCTCCATGTCTCTCTCTCTCCCCTCTGTCATTGCTCTCCCAGCCTTCAAATTGGTCACTGTTGCTCCACCGCTCAACCCACCAATCCTTGCAAACTGCTTCTCCATCTGCAATTTCCACTCCCTACCGCCCCCACCACCCACCCCCCACCATCCCCACCAACTTTCCCTCTCCAAACTCCATGAATATGTTGTCATCTCCCCATCGTTGAAATGCCCGACATCCCCCTCCCCCAGATCAGATTTATGCCCTACCATAATCTTTCTTGTCAAAGCCATCCATGATGTCTCGTATAAACCCCTCTAAGCTCATCATTCGTCAACTATGTACACCTTTTTTTGTGGTCACGCAGGACCATTGGTCTCCGGCATCTCTCCAATGTCATCCCAGCTGGGATGGGACTGTTCCCAAGCTAGTTATCTTCTTATCTATCTAACTGTAGCCACCTAGGATCATCCAGATGGCCTCTTCTTCCCTCTCCTGCACCACCAACCTAGATGTGTCCATGGCAATGCTCTCTGAATTTCTCACCTGTACACTACCTCTTGGAAACATCATTCTGAAACACGGTGTCATTTCTCACATGAACAGCACCCTGTTCCATCTCCCCAACATCTATTGATTTGATTTCACTTATTGTGGTCACGTGTACCTAAATACAGTGAAAAGTTTTGTTTTGCAAGTAATACAGGCAGATCACAGCAAACAAGGACACAGCGATCATAGGGTGCTTAGACAGAGTGAGGCATATATGCTGATTACACGGTTTTGGAGCTGGAGGAACACAGCAGGCCAGGCAGCTTCAGAGGAGCAGGAAAGTTGATGTTTCGGGTCGGGACCCTTCATCAGAAATGGGGAGGGGGAAGGGAGCTCAGAAATAAATAGAGGAGGGGTGGGGCTGGGGAAGGTAGGTGAGATGGTGATAAGTGAGTTCAGGTAGGAAGTGCACAAAGCAAGATCAACATTAGATTTGAAATTAGAGAGGTCCATTCATCAGTCTAATAACAGCAGAGAAGAAGCTGTTCTTGAACCTGTGTGTACATGTGTTGAAGCCTATGTACCTTCTGCCTGACAGAAGAGGCTGGAAGAGAGTATAACCGGGGTGGGAGGGGTCTTTGATGATGTTGGCAGCCTTTCCACGGCAGCGAGCTGTGTAAATGGAGTTACTGGTTGGGAGGTTGGCTTGTGTGATGGTCTGGGCTGTGCACACAACTTTCTGTAGTTTCTAACGGTCCTGAGCGGAGCAGTTGCCATACCAAGCATCCGGATAGAATGTTTTCTATGGTGCATCTGTAAAAGTTGGCGAGGGTCTTAAGGACATGCCAAATTTCCTTAGTTGCTGGAAAAATCAGCAGGTCTGGCAACAGAGATAGTAAGAACTGCAGATGCTGGATTCAGAGATAACACAGTGTGGAGCTGGAGGAACACAGCAGGCCAGGCAGCATCAGAGGAGCAGGAAGGTTGACGTTTCAGGTCGGGACCCTTCTTCAGAAATGGGGCCATTTCTGAAGAAGGGTCCTGACCCGAAATGTCAACTTTCCTGCTCCTCTGATGCTGCCTGGCCTGCTGTGTTCCTCCAGCTCCACACTGTGTTAGGTCTGGCAACGTCTGTGAAGAAAAATCCAAGTTAACATTTCGGGTCTGGTGATCCTTCCTCAGAACTCAATCTATCAGTCTCAGATTCAACATCAGTTACCATTTGTGGAAGAGAGTTCCAGATTTCTATCACCCTCTATGTCATGCGTTCTTTCCTAATTACATTCTTGAAAGTGTTGGCTCAAAATTTTTGCCTTTTCCATGTAGTACGAGACTCTGTAATCAGCGTAAATAGTTGCTCTCTGTTCGCCCTATCTATTTCCCCCAATATTTTGAAAATTTCAATCAAATCACCTTTTAACTTTTTCGGGACTATGGAATCACCATTGGGTTGTTGTAACATAGTGGTAGTCTCCCTACCTCTGGACTCGAAACCCCAGCATTAGGTCCCACCTGCTCCAGTGGGGTGTCATAGCATCTCTGAACAGGTTGATAAGAAAATATTGACAATGCTGTTTTTGTGGAATCTATCCTAATCCCTGGTATCCAGGTATCATTCTGGTGAATCTACACTGCTGTCTCTCCAGTACCTCTTCCCCAAGCCACTCACAGGGCCCAAAGTATCAACTCTGTTTCTCTCTCTACCGATGCTGCCAGGCCTGCTGAGTTTCTCCAGCCATATCTATTTTTATATTTATAGTGGAATTGTCTTTAGTTGGACTTTATACTGTAAAATATATTCATTGGAATTTAGAAAAGTAAGTGGGATCTTATAGAAACATATAAAATTGTGAAGGGAATAGATAAGATAGAAGCAGGGAGCATGTTTCCACTGGTGGGTGGACCTAGAACGAGGGGGCACAGCCTCAAAATGAGGGAGAGCAGATTTAGGACTGAATTGAGGAGGAACCTCTTCACCCAAAGGGTTGTGAATCTGTGGAATTCCCTGCCCAGTGAAGCAGTTGAGGCTTCCTCATTGCATGTTTTGAAGGCAAAGATAGATTTTTGAACAGTGAAGGAATTAAGGGTTATGGTGAGAGAGTGGGTAAGTGGAGCTGAGGCCATGAAAAGATCGGCCATGATCTTATTGAATGGCGGAGTGGGTTCGAAGGGCCTACTTCTGCTCCTATTTCTTACGTTCTTACGTAAAGTGTTGGGATACTTGATCATTTGGGTGGGTAACTAAGGCGGGAAACCTTCCATATGTACTCAGATGAACACTTGAAAAGTCCTAACATTCAAGGCTTTTAGCTTAGTGCTGGAAAGTGGGGCTAGTATAGACTGAGTGTTGCTCTGGTGGTACAGACCTGATGGGCCAAAGGGCCTGTCCTGCATAATTTGATGGTTCTATGATTAATTTCTCTTTAGGGTCCTGTCGGCCCACGAGGACCTCCTGGACCACCGGTGAGTTTCTACATTTTCACTTTACCTCGAGAAAGCTGTCAGCAATGCGACAACATCATTTCATGTTTTAAAACCCTTTGTGGTCAGTGTACTTAGTACAAAAACACTGAAGTCCCAAACGATCCATTCCAAAAAAAACAAAACTGCAGTATTCACTGGTTGATTAGCTCACTTCTGATCTTTTCAACAGGGTCCTCCTGGAATTCAAGTCACACTCGTAAGTATTTTTTTTAAAGTTCAAAAACAGTTACGTAACCCATGCGCTCCGCATTAGTTGACAGCCACAGACTGCTGGTAGCTTAGTGAAATAAATGCTTGGGGGACTTGACAGGGGGAGATGCGAAGAAGTCATTTCCCCTTGTGCGAGAGTCTAAAACCAGAGGGTATCATCTCAGAGTAAGGGGTCCACACATTTAACTCAGAGACGAGGAAGAATTTCTTCTGTCGGAGGGAACTGAACCTGTGGAACTCTTTACTGCAGAGCGCTGTCAAGGCTGGGTTGTTAAGTATATTTCAAGGCTGAGATGTTTGATCAGGAAGGGAATGAAGGGTTGTATGGAAAAGGCAAGAAAGTAAACTTAAGGATGATCGAATGAACCAGGATCTCAATGAACTGTGGGATCATTCTGCTACTTCTGCTCTGACGTCTTATGGTTTTATAGTGATGGCTATTGCTGCAGCAATGCCTTGCGCAGAATGTTGCGTTGTTACAAATTTCTTCATCCAGAGAGCAGGTGAGCCTGTGGAAAACAGTGAGCCCTAGTTCTGGAGTTACAGAGTTTGTAGCAGCCTGGAAAGATGCCCTTCTGCCCATCGTGTCCATGCTAATCATCAAGCATCTATTCTATTGTAATGTCAGTCACCAGCACTTGCCCCGTAGCCTCGTATGCTATGGCGTTTCACATGCTTAACTATGTAGTTCTTGAATGGTCCTAGATATTCCCATAAGAGGAAACATCCTTTCCCATCCAACCTGTCACAACCCCTAAGCATCTTATATCCGTCAATCAAGTGGTCTGTTACTCTGCTGAGCCTCTGTGGATACAAGTCACAGAAAGCAGTTGAGGCTGAAGCATTGAATGTCTTCAAGAAGGAGTTAGGTATAGATCTTAAGCCTGAAGGGATCAAAGTGTAGGGGCGAGAAAGCAGGAAAGGGGGACCAAGTTGCATGATCAGCCATGATCGTATTGAATGGTGGGGTAGGCTCGCAGGGCGAAATGGCCTTTCTCTTGCTTATGTTTCCTTTGGGCAGCCAGGTGGCTTTGTACCCACCACAGAGTCATAGATAGAATGGTATCACAGAAGGAAGCCATTTGGCCCCTGGTGTCCGTGCTAGCTGAAGGAGCAATTCCCCTGCCTTCTCCATGTAACCCTTCATAATCGTCTATTTCAGATAATTGTCCCATCCCCTTTTGAATGAATCAGCCCCAATCCCATTCTCGGGAAATGCATCCCACTCATTCTGTGGAAGAGGTTTTGCTGGTGTTGCTACTGTTGCTAAATACCTTAAATCTGTGGCTTCATCTTTTGCTTTTTCCACTAGTGGGATCAGTTTCTCCCTCTCAAGTTTGCCCAGAGCTCCCCATGTTTAGGAACACCTTGATCAGATCTCCTGTCAACCTATTCTCTACAGAGAACAGTCCCATCCTCTCTGATCCATCCCATCCTTTAGCTGCTTCATGTTTCTCATGAGAAATATTTGCAACATTTTTACATATTGCACCAATCAAGGGGAGTCATAGTGTCAAATAGCACAGTAAAAGACCCTTCAGTCCAACTCATCCATGCTGACCAGGTTTCCCAAATGAAACTAGTTCCATTTGCTTGCGTTTGACCCATATCCCTCTAAACCTTTCATATCCATGTACCTGTCCAAATTTCTTTTAAATGCTGTAATTGTACCTGCATTTACCACTTCCTCTGGCAGTTCATTCCACATACGCACCACCCTCTGTGTGAAAACGTTGCCCCTCAGGTCCCTTTTAAATCTTACCCCCCTCACCTTAAACCTATGCCCCTCTACTTTTCAACTCCCCTATCCTAGGGAAAAGACCTTGGCTATTCGTCTTATCTTTACCCCCAGTGATTTTATAAACCTTTATAAGGTCATCCCTCAACCTCCTACGCTCATCGGGAAAAAAGTCCCTGCCTATTTAATCTCTTCCTATGCCTCAATCCCTCCATACCTGGTAACATCCTGGTACATCTCTTCTGAACCCTCTCTGGTGTAAGAATATTCTTCCTAAAAAGATTCTACAAATACGTCAAGAGCAAGAGGGTAATTAGAGAGAGGGTAGGGCCTCTTAAAGATCAAGGAAGTCATCTTTGTATTGAACCCCAGGAGCTGGGAGAGATACTAAATGAATATTTTGCATCAGTTTATGCTGTGGAGAAAGAAATGAAATCTAGGAGAATGCAGAGAAATAAACTTTGATATTTTAAAAACAGTTCACATTTTAGAAGAGGACTTTCGGGAGGTTTTAGAGAATATAAAGGTGGATAAATCTCTGGGAACTGATCTAATATATCCCAGAACATTGTGGGAAGTAAGGGAGGAAATTATGAGACCCCTTGCAGAAATATTTCCATCATCTATAACTACGGGTGAGGTGCCTGATGGCTGGAGGGTGGCTCATGTTGTACCTTGGTTTAAGAAAGTTTATAAGGAGAAACCGGGGACCTATAGACCTGTGAGTCTGTCTTTGGTTGTGGGTAAATTGCTGGAGGTGATTATAAAAGACAGGATTTCTGGACATTTAGAGAGGCAAAAGTTGATTAGAAATAGTCAGCATGGTTTTGTGCGAGGAAAATTGTGTCTCACAAACTTGAATAAGTTTTTTGAGGAAGTTACCAAAAAGATTGATGAGGGCAGAGCAGTAGACATTGTTTATTTGGATTTTGGCAAAGCCTTTGATAAGGTTCTGCAAGGCAGGCTAATTATTAAAGTTAGGTCACATGGGATTTAGGGTGAGCTTGCCAATTGGATACATAATTGGCTTAACAGCAGGAGACAGAGTAATGATGGAGGGTTGTTTTTCAGTCTGGAGGCCTGTGACCAGTGATGTTCCACAGGGATCGGTTCTGGGTCCTGTTTTGTTTGTCATTTATAGAAATCATTTGGATGAGATTATAGAAGGCATGGTTAGTAAGTTTGCGGATGACACCAAAATTGGTGGCATAGTAGACAGTGAAGAAGATTTTCTAAGATTACAGAGAGATCTTGATCAACTTGGTCAATGGGCTGAAAAACAGCGGATGGAGTTAAATCTGGATAAATGAGAGGTATTGCATTTTGGTCCAACAGGGCTTATACACTTAATGGGTAGTGTTGTAGAACAAAGGGACCGAGGGGTTCAGGTGCATAATTCTTTAAAGTTTGTGTCACATATACGCAGGATGGTTAAAAAGGCGTTTGGCACACTTGCCTTCATTGCTCAGTCCTTTGACTATAGGACTTGGGATGTTATGTTGAGGTTGTACAGGACATTGGTGAGGCCTCTTCTGGAATACTGTGTCCAGTTCTGGTCGCCCAGTTATAGGAAGGATATTACCAAGCTGGAGAGGGTTCGGAAGAGATTTACCAGGATGTTGCCAGGTATGAAAGATTTGAGTTATAAGGAAAGGCTGGATTGGCTGGGACTTTTTTCACTGGAGCGTAGGAGGTTGAGAGCTGACCTGATAGAAGTTTATAAAATAATGAGAAGTATAGATAAAGTTGATGGTAGTTGTCTTTTCCCTAGGATGGAGAATTTCAAGATTAGGGGGCACATTTGAGAGAGATTTTAAAAAGACATGAGGGGGCAAATTTTTTACACAGAGGGTGGTTTGTGTGTGGAATGAGCTTCCTTAGGAAGTGGCGGATGTGGGTACAATTACAACATTTAAAGGACATTTGGACGGATATATAGATAGGAAAGGTTTGGAGGGATATGGGCCAGGAGCAGGCAGGTGGGACTAGTCTGGTTTGGGATTATGGTTGGCATGGACTGGTTGGACCGAAGGGTCTGTTTCCATGCTGTGTGACTCTATGACACTATCCACTTACCCTCGGATGGTGGCTCCTCCCTGCCAGGTTCTTGACTCCTCAACCAGGGGTGGAGGCTCCAGTGGGCAAGGCCACCACGAAAGTAGCCTCAGCACTTCACAGAGCGTGGGATGTTGGCTGTTTGGCCCATCGCCCCTGGACTAGCCCCTCTGTAAGAGCTTTCCGCTCCATCTCCACCCCCACCACCACCCCACTCCTCCCTGGTTTGAGGCTGAAGCATGTTCTTATTTTCTGACATTTATCATCTTCAGAAACACGAGGAGCTAGGCGCAGCTCTGCAAGCGTTGATCGAATCGAAAACTGCACTCAGGACCGAGGTAACTGTAACACTCCTCACCCAAACCCTGACCAGCTGGACCCGTATTTTTGAGAATTCCTGTAACATAGCCCATCATAAAACAAACCACTGAAGTAATCTTTGCCATTAATGGTTAGAAGTGACCCCTGTTTTTCTCATGCAGAACTATCAGAATTCAGATGTACCTTTGCTTGACCAGGGAGCGGAGATCTTTAAGACCCTACACTACCTCAGTAATCTTATCCACAGCATTAAGAATCCGCTGGGAACCAGAGACAATCCAGCTCGTGTCTGCCATGATCTCATGAACTGTGAGCAGAGAATGAACGATGGTGAGTCCAAATCCTTCAGTAATTCGCAGCTAAGATCCTCCACAAACACAGTGGCTTCATGTGGAGGCAGTGCCCCAGTGCTAACAGAATGAAAACAAAATACTGTGGATGCTGGAAATCTGATACTAATGCAGAAAGCACTGGAGAAACTCAGCAACGTCTCTGCTTGCTTGAAGCAGTCGGGGATAATGCTGAGGTTTGGAGATTTCCGTTCACATCCTCTAGTCAAACTGCACCCAAATGGTCAGCAGAGGGAGGATTCTAACACAGGGACAGCACCTGCTTTCTGTTAACTTTGTGTTTTCAATTCCCTCTCCCCATTCCCAGACAAGCCCAGCAGCCAACCTCTGTACAGTGTCCACCCCGTCAGACTGACCAGTCTGTAATGTCCATTCTGACCGTTCCACAGCTTCCACCCCCACAGACTGATCAGACAATAGTGCCCATTCTCTCGGACTAACTGGTAGATAAGCCTACCCTCTTGGGCTGATCAGACAGTAGCATCCCGTCTCTCACACCGGCTGGTCTGCAATGTCCACTCTCTCTGACTGACCAACGGTCAGTGTCTCAGACTGTCTGGACAATAGTGTGACCAAACTCCAACTGAATGAGTGCCCAGTATGTATGCAGTACAGTCCTGGTCACAATTTATTGCGGGTGATTTTTGTCAGATGACACAAGTTAGCTCCCAGCTCAGAGCCCGTTGACTTGATGATCTGAACAGTGCAGTTTCTCTCAGTCTCCTCCAAAGAGTCGGGATCTAGCCTTTCTCTTGTATTGGTTCTTTAGGCACTTACTGGATTGATCCTAACCTCGGCTGCACCTCGGATACAGTCGAAGTGATTTGTAACTTCACAAGTGGTGGGCAGACCTGTCTCAAACCCATCACTGTCTCCAAGGTAAGGCTACAGTATTGGTTTCCTAACTTTAACAATCAACACAGTTTTGTTCAAGCCTGCATATTTAATCTGAATGTCTGGCTAGAGAGAGCTGATAACAGATTAAACCTACACCTTTTCCTGGATTGAGTCAACTATCCAGATTCAGAAAGACTAAAAGACACAATACATACCAACAATGAACAGGTGTAAAAAAAAAAGAACTGCGGATGAATCAGGAAACAAAACAGAAATTGCTGGAAAAGCTCAGCAGGTCTGGCAGCGTCTGTGAAGGAAAAAGCAGAGTTAACATTTCGGGTCTGGTGACCCTTCCTCAGTTCTGATGAAAGGTCACCGGACCCGCTGAACACCAGTCAGCCCTTCACACCTTCTCTCCCGTTCCATGGCTGATCTGATTTTAACCTCAACTGAACATTCCTGCATATCCCTGATAATCTTCCATCCCCTTGGTCATCGAGAATCTATCTCCATAAAAACCGAAAGAACTCGGATGCTGTAAATCGGAAACAAAAACAGAAGTTGCTGGAAAATCTCAACAGTCCAACAGCATCTGTGGAGAGAAATCAGAATTAACCTTTCAGGTCGAGTGAGCCTTCCTCACAATCTATTACCACTGCCTTAAAAATATTTAAAGATTCTGCATTCTCTGCTTTTGGAGGAAGAGAATTCCAAAGGTTCACAGCCCTCTGAGAGAACTGTTTTTCCTCAACTCTGTCTTAAATGGGTGGACCCCTATTTTCAGTCTACGAGCCCTGGCTCTGGATTCTCCCACAATACAGAGCATCCTCTCCACATCCGCCTGGTCAGATTTCCTCAGGATCTTACATGTTTCAATTAAGGGACCTCATAGAAACCTACAAAATTCTAACAGGTTAGATGCAGGAAGGATGTTCCTGATGGAGGGGGTAGCCTAGAACCAGGGGTCATAGTTTAAACGATAAAGGGTAAACATTTCAGGACTGAGACGAGGAGAGATGTCTTCACCCAAAGAGCGGGTGATCCTGTGGAATTCTGTACCACAGACAGCGGTCAGGACAAATTATTGTGTGTTTTCAAGGAGGAGGTAGATATAGCTGTTGTGTCTAAAGGGATCGGGGATATGGTGGGGAGCAGGATTGGTGTATTGAACTCAATGATTAGCGATGAACATAATGAATGGAGGAATCACAAGTGGCTCACTCCTGCTCCTGTCGTCTATGTTTCTGTGTCACCTCTGAATGTTCTAAGTGCCAAATGAAACGGGCCTAGCTGGCCCAGCCTTTTCTCCCAAAGCTATCCACCCATTGCAGAATATGCCTTCGCACCTTGACCTCAGTTTTGATTGAAGCTCCATGGATGGATTTGTGTCCCCTGGTGCAGGAGCAGTCATTAAAAGCTGCCGCTGTCAAAGCACAATGGAGATAAAACCTGGAAAAGTGGAGTAGGCCTGGAAGTGTCTATGGAAGAAGGAGACGGGGTAAACATTTCAGGTCCGAGCCCTTTCCATCAGAGCGAAGTAAGCTCTGTTTCTCTCTTCACAGACACTGCCCTGAGCTGCTGAGTCACTCTGAGCAGATCTGGGCACTGCACCTTCAGGAAGAGGTAGTGGCATAGATTCACAGGAATGCTACCCGGACTCCACGGGTCAGGAGCAATTCCACAAAAGTAGCATTGTCAATATTTTCTCATCATCCTGTTCCAAGATGTTGTCACACACCTCTGGGACAGGTGGGACCTAAAGCTGGGGCTTCCAGTCCAGAGGTAGGGACAATAACCACTGTGCCACAACAGCCCAACACTAACTCTGTATTCCCGATAAAAGTTAGAAGCTGATCTGATTGAAATTTTCAACAATATTGGAGGGAATACGTAGGGTAAATAGAAACTATTTATGCTGGTTAGACAGTCTCGTACTAACTGGAAGAGGCAAATATTTAGAGCCAATTCTTTCAGGAATGGAATTAGGAAAGACCACATCACACAAAGGATGATAGAAATTTGGAACTCTGTTCCACAAATGGTAACTGATGTTGAATCTGAGACTGATAGATTTTTGTGAAGCAAAGTTATATGAGGTCCCATTTGAAATTAACTCACAGATCAGCAATGATCTCATTGAATAATCGAATAGAACAGAGGGGCTGAGTGGCCTATTACTGCTCCCTATGACTGTCCCATGCATTTTATTGACTGTTACTCTTTACAGGTCTGCATCCTGGGAGATGTGGGATTTGTGTAGCTTTAGGATTAGGGCACTGGGATCTCCAACTGAACTGGTGCTGGAAATCTTTTCGTCAGGACAAAAAGCAAGAATGCCAGCATTTCAAAACACTGCAGAAAGCTAAACTGCAGCAGGAGAGGGTCCTAGTTCAGTCAGTCAACACCACTGAAATTTCATAGAATCTCTGTAGTGTGGAAACAGGCCCTTTGGCCCAACAAGTCCACACTGACTCTCAGAGCATCCCACCAAGACACATCAGGCAATTTAGCATGGCCAATCCACCCTAACCTGCACATCTTTGGACTGTGGGAGGAAACCTGCACAGACACAGGGAGAATGTGCAAACTCCACACAGAGTTGCCTGAGGGTGGGATTGAACCCAGGTCCCTGGCACTGCGAGGCAGCAGTGCTAACCACTGAGCCACCATGCAACATGGTTGTGGTGGTTTTTCTGGAATAGGGTGTTCTTGCACCGGTCCTAATGAATGTAAGAGGACAAGGTTCAACGACATGTTCAACAATACTTTCAGCCAGGCTCCTGGGCTCACTGCCAGGTGCTAGAGACAGCAGCAACTAGAGCTTTTTGTATTTCACAATCTGAAACCGTGAATGTGATTTGGAGCCGAAAGGTTGCTGTTTGAAGCGGCAGTACTGGTCAGGTACTCCAGGTGGCAGTGCTGAGGCTAAAGGCAGCACCATCAATCAGGCTGATAGTGCAACTGGAGACTTTTGCAAATTTCTCTAAAATACTTCTGTCGGTTTTGATGGCTTTAAGCGAAAAGGACAACAAAACTTAACTGCCTTACAGAAGACATGGTGTATGTGCATCTATGGGCCGTTTCGGTGCGCGTTACACAACCCCAAACAAAAACAGAAGTTGCTGGAAAAGCTCGGCAGGTCTGGCAGTATCTGTGGAGAGAAATCAGAGTTAACATTTCGGTGCACATTACACGACCCCAAACAAAAACAGAAGTTGCTGGAAAAGCTCAGCAGGTCTGGCAGTATCTGTGGAGAGAAATCAGAGTTAACATTTTGGGTCCGGTGAGCCTTCCTCAGAACGGAGGGTAGCTGGGAAAGTGTCGGTTTATGTGCAGAAGATAGGGTGAGGGAAGGGGGTGTTGTGTACATGATAGGTGGGGATAGAGCCCAAAGAGAGAGAAGAGCACTTGAACAGACATCCTCCGTTCTGAGGAAGGCTCACCGGACCCAAAATGTTAACTCTGATTTCTCTCCACAGATACTGCCAGACCTGCTGAGCTTTTCCAGCAACTTCTGTTTTTGTTTGGGGTTGTGTAATGTGCACCGAAATGTTAACTCTGATTTCTCTCCACACATACTGCCAGACCTGCCGAGCTTTTCCAGCAGTTTCTGGTTTTGTTTCTGAGTACCTACATTTGCAGTTCTTTCAGTTTCTATCACAGAACCTCTCTTGCACCCAGACAGCTGAAACCCCTGTTAAAGTGCAGACTCAGTTGTCGATCTGATCCAGTGTGTATATGATACTCCAGCCTGTACCTGGAAACCCCAGGTCTACAGTCATCTTGAAGCTGTGCGTGCACTGGTCATCCATAAGATAGGAGCAGAAGAAGGCCATTCAGCCCATTGAGCTTGCTCTGCCATTCAATGAGATCACAGCTGATCTGATCATCCTCCACTCCACTTTCTTGCCCTTGCCCCTTTCTGATTAAAAACCTGCCTATCTCAGCCTTGAATATACTTAATGACCCAGCCTCAACAGCCCTCTGCGGTAAAGAATTCCACAGATGCACTAAAACAAAACAAGAACTGGGGATGCTGGAAATCTGAAAGGAAGCCAGAAATCGCTGGTGAAACTCTGCAGGTGTCTGGCACCAAAAACAGAAGTTGCTGGAAAAGCTCAACAGGTCTAGCAGCATCTGTAGCAAGAAAGCAGAGATCTGATGAAGAGTCGCCAGGTTTGAAACATTAACCCACGGGCAATTTCTGTTTTTCTCATTCCATCCTATTTTTGCGTCATCTGCAAAATTGGCTGTGGTACATTCACTTTCCTCATGCAAGTCATTCAGGTATGTTGTTAGTAACAGTGGCCCCAGCCCTGATCCCTGTGGCTCTCCATCGGTTGCCACCCTGAAAATACCCCTTTGTCCCAACTCTCTGTCTTCCATTTGTTAGCCAATCCTCTATCCATGCTAGCATGCTACCCCTAACGTTATGGGCTCTTATTATGTGGTGCCTTATCAAACACCTTCCAAGGGACTAGCCCCTTGTGGAAGTTGAGTTGCTGTGGGTACATACGTGAACCATGCAAGTTGACGAATGCAGATGTGGATAGTGATGGGAGAGACTCCAATTTTCTTGGCACCATGTGGTCAGCCTGAAAACTCTCTGGACTTTACTGCCTGCTGTTGGCATGTGTACTGGGAGGACGTACAGGGTGATAATTGACCTGTTTGGCCTTGCTCCGAAAGTGGGCCTCAGACCCTGAGTTTCTGTCAATGGCAGGGGTACCACCAACTGTGCCTGGCTTGGCTTCAGTAGTGAGGATGAGGTGCGCTAATTGGATTCTCACTTCCTCGAGTTTAAAGCATTGAGGATGCGATCTGATTTCAAATGATGTAGAGATTCAACAGGCAGAATGGAGGGAAACCATTGCCTTGGCTTGGAGAGGAGTCTGGAATGATACCAGGAGAATAAAATTCAAAGTGGAGCTGAGTGGGAAGGGTTGGGGGCGTCAGTGAAATCAGCCAGCTCTTGGAAATTTCACCAGCCATTGGAAAGCTGCAATTCGTGACCCCAGAAAGAAAGGCTACATTTATGTAGC